CGGCTTCCCCACTAGCTGCCGCAGTAGCAGCAGCAGCAGCAGCAGCAGCAGCAGCAGCAGCAGTGTTATATATATGTATATATATAATGCAAGATATTGTGGAGGCATTTTCGGGTGGTAGTTCTTTACTCTCTTCAATCCTGGGCCCTTACGATGAGCAGCAGCTGCTGCAGCAGCAGCAGCAGCTGCAGCAGCAGCAGCAGCAGCAGCTGCAGCAGGGGGCGCATGCATCATTATGGCCTTACTTTAAGGCAGCATTGCTGGGGACAAGGTACTCCGATCCTATAGTTGTTGTGTTGCTGCTGGTTTTGCTGCTGCTGCTGCTGCTGCTGGTGCTGGCGGTGCGCAGCAAGAAGCTGAGGTATGAGTTGCTGCTGCTGCTGCTGCTCGCGGGCTGTCTCTGCAGCACTCAGCAGCTGCAGCAGCAGCTGCATATACACCAGAAGCTGCTGCTGCAGAAGGGCTGGGCTAGCCGTCCCTACGGTGCAGCAGCAGATTTGTGGTTGCTGCTGTTCTGGGTGCTGCCGTTGCTGCTGCTGCTGCTGTTGCTGAATCTGCTGCTGCTGCAGCAGCTCTTCTCCCTTGCCTCAGGTGCTCTACGCACTCGAATTGCTGCTGCTGCTGCTAAGAAGCAGAAGCACCAGCATCGCCAGCAGGAGCTGCAGCAACAGCATCAGCAGCAGCAAGATCCGCAGCAGCGGCAGCAGGGGAAGGCTAAGGAAGCATAAACTGTGCAGCGTTGCTGCAGCAATGCTGCATTACTGTTGCTGCAGCAGCAGCAGCAGAGACTTTTGTTTTGAATCGGGGTGTATGCACACTTCATTACACACGCAGATTCCTCTACTGCTGTTGTTGCTGCTAGTGCTGCTGCTGCTAGTGCTGCTGTTGGTGCTGTTGCTGATGCTGCCTCTATTGCTGATGTTGTTGTTGTTGCTGCTGCTGCTGCAGCTACAGCTGTTGCTGCTGCTGCGCCGGGGGACGGTGTGCAAGGCATGATATGAATGTAAACCAACGAACAAATAAATAAATAAATAAATAAATAAATAAATAAATAAATGAGCAGCAAATATAAATAAATATAAATTAAATAAATAAAAATACTGAAGGACGAGTTGGGTATTACACAAAAACAACGAGAGAGAGAGTGAAAGCGAAGCAGCAAATGCAGAAGCAGCAGCAGCAGCAATTGCAGCAACAGCAGCAGCAGCAAGTGCAGCAACAACGACAGCAGCAAATGCATCACAGCCAGTGGCAGTCTAGGCAGCAGCGGCAACAGCAGCAGCAAGGAGGGGGAGCGACGACTGCTGCTGCTGCTGCTGCTGCTGCAGCCTGCTCTCGGTATTGCTGCAGTTGTCTATTATCTGCTGCAGCAGCTGCTGCTTCCTTTGCTGCGCAGCGCTTCTGTTGCTGCTGTCTATTTAAGGGGGTATACAAACAGTAGGATCGCGTCTTCTGCTTCTGTTCGCAGCAGCAGCAGCAGCAGCAACAACAGCAACAGCAACAACAGCAGCGATAGGCAGCAGCAACAGCAGCAGCAGACAATAAATTGCTGCTGCTGCAGCAGCAGCAACAAGCAGCAAGTTGAGTCTCCAAACAAAAACTGCTGCAGCTGCAATGAACAACAGCACGAGGGTTGTTGCTGCTGCTGCAGCAACAACCCTCGTGCTGTTGTTGCTGGTGGTCTGCTGCTGCTGCTGCTGCTGCTGCTGCTGCTATTTATTATAACAAAGGAATTGATTGCTGGCTGCTACTTAAAAAACAACTTATTAGGAATTACTTTATACTACTGATTCATTAGTAGTTCCGCTGTTGCTGCTACTGCTGCTGCTGCAGCAGCAAATCGACAGAGGCCTCCCGGGGGGCCCCTGTAGGTCATTTGCTGCTGCTGCTGCCGCTGCTGCTGCTGCTGCAGGTAAGACAGCAATACAGCAGCACCAGAGCAGCAACAACGCTGTGTCTAACTCAAATAAATAATTCTTTAGGTGTTATTTACTGCAGCAGCAGCAGAAATGGTACGCCTCCGCAGCAGCAGCAGCAGCAGCGGCAGCAGCAGCAGCAGCAGAGTGAGTTGGGGTGAAAAACACTCAACTTAATGCGCTAGCTGCAGTTTTTCATTGCTTCTGCTGCTGCTGCTGCTGCTGAGGCAGCGGCTGCGGTGTACACACACACAACGCCCCGCGTATCCGCTGGGGGGCGCAGCAGCAGCAGCAGCAGCAGCAACTGCAGCAACAGCAGCAGCAGCAGCAATAGGAACAGCAGCAGCAGCAGCAGCAATAGCAACGGCAGCAGCAGTAGCAGATGCTGATTTCACGCAGCTACGCTCGAGTGCTGCAGCTGCCACAGCGCTGCAGGACAAAATGACTCAGCAGCAGCAGCAGCAGCAGCAACGGCAGCAGCAACAGCAGCAACCGGCACCGGCACCACAACATGAGCAGCAGCAGCAAGGCAGCTACAGCTGCTTCCTCTATGAAGCTGCAGCAAATCTACAGAGCGCTGCTAGCGTATCAGAGATACCCGGGGTCTTAGGGGCAGCAGCCGCTGCGCTGCGGCAGCTGCAGCAGCAGCAGCAGCAGCAGCAGCAGTTTGCTCAGGACAGAGCAGTCCTGCATGCAGCCTCTAGCCTTGCTGCTGCAGCGTTTCGTGCTTGTCTAAGAAGTTTGCAGCAGCAGCACCCCTCAGTAGCTGCAGCAGAAGGCACAGCAGCAGCAGCAGCAGCACAACTAGCAGGAGCGGTTCACCAGCAGCAGCAGCACCCGCTGCACTTAGGGAGTCTCCTCTGCTGCAGCACATGTTCTAACAACAACAACAACAGTAGCAGCAGCAGCAGCTGTTTGCTGCTGTGTGGGCTGCTCTTTAGAAACCTCATAGATCTCTGCGGCTTCCAGCTGCTGCAGCCCCTGCTGCAGCTGCTGCTGCCTCCTATAGAGGGGCTTGTAGCAGCAGCAGCAGCTGCAGCAGGAGCAGCAGCAACGGCAACAGGAGCAGTAGGAGCCGCAACACCAACGGGCGTAGCAGCAGCACCAGCTGCAGAAGTAGCTGCAACAGCAGCTAGTTTGCTGCTGCTATTGAGTGCAACAAGCAGTACCTGGTTGCTGCTGCTGCTGCGCGATGGTGCAGCAGTCACGCGCCTGGGACAGCTGCTGTGCTGTTGTCTGCAGCAGCTTCGGCTTCAGCAGGAGCAGCAGCAAAAAGCAGCAGCAGCAGCTGCTGCTGCTGCTGCATCCACGTGCACCTGCGCTTGCGACAGCGCGCATCCGTTGCAGCAGCAGCAGCAGAAGCAGCAGCAACAGCAGCAGCAGCAGCATTTGAGCTGTGCTGGCTCTATTGCGGAGTTCTTAATGCGGGAAACTGCTGCTGCGTGCAGCAGCAGCAGCACTAGTAGTAGTAGTAGTGGCTGCAGCAGCAGCAGCAGTAGCAGCAGGAGCACTGCAGCAGAGACAACAGCAGCAGAGGTTTCCCTGCTGTATGTGCGGGGCTGTTTGCTCTCTGTTCTGCATGCTCTTTTGCTGCTGTCTTGCAGCAGCCTAGAGCAGCAGCAGCAGCTGCTGCAGCAGCAGCAGCAGCGGCTGCTGCAGCAAGTTGAAAGGGTAGCATCGTACAGCTGCTGCCCCACCGAGGAGGACCTGCAGCAGCTGCAGCAACAGGTGCAGCAGCTGCAGCAGAAGCAGCACCAACAGCAGCAGCAGCAATATCTGCTATGGAAGGCTGTTCCTGCTGCAGAACTCCACCGCTGCATCGTTGCTGCAGCAGGCAGCAGCAGCAGCAGCAGCAGCAGCAGTGGCTGCTGCTCGCCTTTCTTGTCTCCGTCTGAGCTGCTGCTCTCCGAGGCTGCCACCAGCACGCTCCATCAGCAGCTGCAGCGGCAGCAGCAACAGAAGCAGCAGCGGCAGCAGCAACAGACACAACTGCAGCAGCATCAGCAAGGAAAACAGCAGCAGCAGCAGCAGCAACAGTTGCAGCTGCTGGGGTTTGGGCTCTGGCAGCACTTACGTACGGCTGTTGACTCAATTTCCGCTGTGCTGCAGCAGCAGCAGCAGTTGCAGTGGGGGGGAACTGCAACGGCAGCAGCAGCAGCAGCAGAAGCAGCAGCAACTGCATCAGTCGTGCTGCAACAGCAGCTGCAGGAAGACCGCCGTTCCTCCGGGTGTATAGGCAGCTGTCATTGTCCTGCGCCCCTCTCATTAGGTTTACCAGCAGCAGCAGCAGCAGGATCGACGACAGCAGCAACAGCAGCAGGAGCAGCAGCAAATGGACCTGCGCAGCTCCACAAAATCTCCTGCTGCTGCTGCTCGCCGCTGCTGCAGTCTGCGTGGGGGCTGCTGCGGCTCTGGGAGGAGTTGAGGGGGCGGCAGCAGCAGCAAAAGAGGCAGCAGCAGCAGCTGCAGCAGCATCAGCTGCTGCTGCTGAAGCTCCAGCCCAGCAGCCAGACCAGCAGCAGCAACATCAGCTGCAGCAGCAGCAACAGCAGCAGCAGCAGCAGCAAATCCGTCGATTTAGAAGGGCCTTACTGCTCCCTTATGTCAGTTTCCTACAGCAGGATTAGTGTTGCTGCTGAACAGCTGCAGCACCAATATGCAGCAGCAGCAGCAGCAGACGCCGAGTGCAGCATCAGCAGCAGCAGCTGCAGCAGCAGATTTTTGCTGCTGCGGGTTGCTGCTGCTCGCTATCATCTCTGTGCCGAGTTGAGTGCAGCAACGTGCAGCCTGCAGTTGCTTCCGCAGCAAGCAGCAGCAGCAGCAGCAGAAGCAGGTCGTGCAGTTGTTTTGCTGCAGCGGTATATTAAGCCAGCAGTGATGCACGGTGTGGAGTCCCTCAGCAGCACTCAAACGAGTTGCTGCTGTTCTGCTGCTGCTGCTGCTTCACTGCATGCAGCGTGCTGCTTGCTTGCTGCTGCAGCAGAGTTTATCTCCGCCTTGCTGCTGCATGCAGCAGTAGGGCCCCGCGCTGCTCTGCTGCTGCTGCGCTCGCTCGGGCTGCAGCAGCTACACTCCAGACACTCGCAGCAACAGCAACAGCAACAGCAGCAGCAGCAGCAGCAGCAGCTCTCCTTGCCTAGCAGCACCACGAATTGCATCGTGGAAGAGGCCCTGGATGCTCCTCAGCGCAGCAGCAACTCAGCAACAACAGCAGCAGCAGCAGCAGTGGCTGCTGCGGCATACCCTGCTGCTTCTGCTGCTGCTACTGCTGCTGGAAGTGCATGCTTTAGCTGCTGCATGTTCTATGGTGGCTGCCTTCTTCTTCAGGACTCAAAAGTCAGGCGAGACGTTGCTGCTGCAGCTGCCGCGTTTGCTGCTGCATGCGGTCGTATGCACCGCAGCAGCAGCAGCAGCAGCAGCAGCAGCCTAACAGCAGCAGCAGCAGCAGACTTTGTGGTCTCTCTGAGACACCGTTGGGTGCTGCTGGTTTCTTCGCTGCTGCGCCGCCTGCAGCTGCTGCGAGATGAATCCAGCAGCATAAGCTGCAGCAGTAGCAGCAGCAGCAGAAGCAGCAGCAGGAAATGCAGCAGCAGCAGCCGCTCGGACGGCACCAGCAGCAATGGGTGCAGCAGCACCAACGACAGCCGCAGCAGCTGCGGTGGGAGCAGCAACAGCAACAGCAGAAACAGCAGCACCTGCAGCAGGAGCACAAGCCGAAGCAGCAGCAGCAACAGCATCACAAGTAGCAGCAGCAGCAGCAACAGCATCACAAGTAGCAGCAGCAGCAGCAAACAAGACAGAGACCAATGGCTTAGCTGGCAGCAGAGCAAAACCCCTGAATTTTGGAGGCGAAGACAATGCGAGACAGAGTGAGTGCAGCAGCAACTGCAGCATTTGCTGCTGCTGCAGCTGCTGTTGCTGTTGCTGCTGCTGCGGCTGTCGTCGTCGCTGCTGCAGTGTTTGCTGCGGTCGTGAGCTAGCTTGTTGCGTCTGCTTCTTTGCTGCTGCTGCTGCTGCTGCAGCAACCTCTCCTTCCCCCTTCCTGCTGAGTGCTTTTTAATGGGGGAGAAAATGCCGCTGCTGCTGCTGCTGCTGCTGCTGCTGCTGCTCTTGTTGCTGCTGCTGCAGGTTGCATGCGGTGAGGGTGCGGTGTCTCTGCTGGGCTTTGTCTTTCTTTACTGGAGACAGCAGCAGCCCCTTCCTCTCGTTGCTGCTGGAGATGCACTTCGGCTTCAATACAGCTGCTGCTGCTGCTGCAAGAGCAGCAGCAGCAGCTGCAGCAGATGGGAGACAGGGATCTGCAGCAGCAACAACAGCAGCAACATCAACAACAACAGCAGCAACAGATTCTTCTGGTGGAGTCCCTGGCGGGAGCCCTGCTGCAGCAACACCTGCTGCTGGTGCTGCTGCTGCACTCCTTGCTGCTGGAGCTGATGATTCGAATCAAACCCACGGCAGCAGCAGCAGCAGCAACAGTAGCAGCAACAACAGCAGCAACAGAAGCAGCTATTCGTGCTGCTGTGCTGCTGCTGGAAGTGAAGCGCGGCTTGTTGTTGAGTTGCTGGCAGCAGAGACGCAGCTGCTGCTGCTACTGCTGCCGACTAGCCAGCAGCAGATCTTTTTTAAAGGCGCTGTCCCTGCTGCGTTGCTGCACACTTTGCTGCTGCTGCATTTAAGGGCCTTCTTCTGCTTCCTTGCTGATGCTGCTGCTGCTGCTAATTCACCGGCTGCTGCTGCTCCTGCAGCAGCAGCAGCAGCAGATACCGACCATAAAGGAATCTTGCTGCAGCGCCATGCAGGCACGACGCCAACTTGTTGCAGCAGCAGCAGCAGCAGTAGGAGCAGTAAGCGCTGTGTGGTGTCTCTTCTGCTTG